GAAGGGCTGGATAATTTTTAAGTTTCAAAATGAAGAGGATAGATCGAAGGTACTACTTGAGGGACCTTACACCATATTTGGGAAACTCCTAATGCTTAAAGTACTCTCCGAGGATTTCACCTTTGAGGATGAGGAATTTCTAAAAATTCCAATTTGGATCAAATTCCCTAAACTACCAATGAGTTTATGGAATGATGAGGCTATGAGCGAGGTGGCATCAATGGTCGGGGTCCCATTAACCACGGATAAAATCACTCAAGAAAGGGCAAACAATGACTATGCTAGAGTTCTTATTGAGGTTGATGTTTCAAAGCCACCACCGCTTCACTTCCCTATTCGACTACCTTCCCGTAAGGTAATCAAACAATTTGTGGTTTATGAAACTTTCCCTAACTTTTGTTTTCATTGCAAAGAATATGGGCATCACCCATTTATTTGTAAGAAACTAGCAAAACGGGAGGATAAGGAAGCTGATTTAGAACGGAGAAGGGAAGAAGATGAAAATATAAAGAAGGATAAGAAGCTTTCCCTAACTAGGCCACAACCTGCTGCCCAGGGGACAGACCCGACCGGGCATACCCCTGGCCCGACTGAAACTCAGCTGCAAGTCCCTCACCCGCCCGGGTGTGTGAAGGACCCGATCGGGTCAACAGTGCAGAACATTGTCCAGGATGCATCTGCTGTGATTATGGCTGAACAGAGACCTTCTTTGGATGATGGCGAGAGGATAATCATGGATAAAAAGGATGTGAGGCTAGATGATGTTGTTATAAAATGTGAGGTGATAAACGGCAAGACACTCAAGTTGTTTGTCAAACCGTTTAAATCCGTGCATGCTAATGTGATTCGAGTGGACACTTTCCTTCGACTTACGGATGATTTGGATAGAAAGGGTCTCACTTTTACCGTTGAATGTCTTGAGAGCTTGCCGGGCGTTACAAAGAAGAAAGGGGAGGTTCGCTTTGATTCAAAGTTCACTCAACCTTTCCGATGTTTCCTTGGTTGTTAAATTAGGGAAACCTAATTTCTTTAATTATTGATTTGTGAAGTGGGGATTGTCCCATTATTTTGATGCATTATATCTAGGTTAGATTTTTCTAGCTTAGATAGTCATTTTGATCTGGATTGATGCATTGTAAAAATGCTATTTTTCGGTCTCTAATATACTTACATATTATCGTCGAGTTGCAATGGGTTCCCTATGCAAAAATACACAATTCTCGTTCAGGACTAAAGTCCAAATTATGAATAGAAAAAAACATACAACTCTTCATTGTTTTCAGGCTTACTAAATCAACCGAGTCACGAAGATTGGCTTAAATTTTGAATACGACATCGTATGATCTCATTTTGAGTTGAAATAGGTTCCCTATGCAAAAATACACAATTCTCGTTCACGACTCAAGTCCAAATTAAGAATAGAAAAAAACATACAACTCTTCAGTGTTTTCAGGCTTACTAAATCAACCGAGTCACGAAGATTGGCTTAAATTTTGAATAGGACATCGTATGATCTCATTTTGAGTTGCAATGGGTTCCCTATGCAAAAATACACAATTCTCGTTCACGACTCAAGTCCAAATTATGAATAGAAAAAAACATACAACTCTTCAGTGTTTTCAGGCTTACTAAATCAACCGAGTCACGAAGATTGGCTTAAATTTTGAATACGACATCGTATGATCTCATTTCGAGTTGCAATGGGTGGGTTGGGTTCGGGTTAGGAGTTGAGAGCTGATTCTCTCCCTCTCTCGAGGCTCTTCTACGTACATTCCCAAACACCAATCGATCTTCCATTGATTCTCTTTGCTAAGCTTGGATATTGGCTGGATTTAATTTGTGGTGTAACTCCTCAAATTTTCGAGCTCTGCTTTGGGGATTTTCGGACTGTTTCAGCTAAAAACAGTCTCGCGAGTACTGTTCCACGACGGCAGGTCAACGGCCATCTGCCGCGCCTGTCCTCACCGTTTTTATTTTGGAAGGTCATCTTGGACTCCCCTAGGTGCGTATAACAAGCATATACACTCTTTTCATCCATCAAAGGAGGTCGGATTTGGGTCAAACTCTCCAACGGATATATGTATTTCTGGAAATCGCTGAAACCAGAAATCAAGAAGATGGTCACCTAGAAGGGGTCTGCTACTCCATAGCTCCCTCGTTCCCTGCAAATTCGGACACTGTTCATCTACCTCAGTATACCGCGACTGCTGAAGGGTGAGAGTTGCAGACCTGCTACTGCTGTCTGCGTTTGCTATTGTACTGAGGTCCGGTCTTCTTTACTGACCTGGGGGGTTGAGACGAGTGCAAGGCAGTGAAGTGATTACTGCTATGGGGAAGAAGAAAAATACGCTACTGATTGGTGAATCTTCTTCCAGAATTACAAGGTCAACTGGAAACTTTGACATTCTGGCAGATTGTGATGATGAATTTCCTGCTTTGGGGAGTATCACGCCAGTAGCTCCTGATGCTGGAGCCAAGACAGGGGATGCTGCTAAACCTGGGCAGATTGTTGCTAAGCTATCGGGGCAGTCAGTCCCTAAGTTAGGAGCAAACAAGACAGCCACTAGTCCAAACAAAATGAGTGAGCCAGTACTGATCAAACAGGCCCAAGAAAACGCAAGTGCTAAGTTGGCACAGAATGTTACTGCCAGTTTATTGGAAAAGGAACAAAACAAAAATGGGGATGCAGGGGTTGTTAAACCTTGGTCTTCATTGTTCAAAGACAATCGTGACCCTTCAAATGGTTTGAAATTGAGGTATATCCAGCCCAAAGGCACATCTCTAGATTTTACGGATAGAGATTTGCCTTCTATGGTTGACATGTGGGGATTTTGTCTTGTGGGTTTCTTTTCTGGGAAATTCCCAGGCCTTAAAGTGATCTATGACTTGAAAAACACTTGGGGAGTTAGTTGCATTGTTAACACACATAGCAAGGGATGGATTATTTTCAAATTTCAAAATGATGAAGATAGATCAAAAGTGTTGAATGGAGGTCCTTACACCATCTTTGGTATACAACTCATGTTAAAAGCACTATCGGAAGATTTTTCCTTTGATGATGAAGAATTTCTCAAAGTCCCCATTTGGGTAAAATTTCCTAATCTACATATGAAACTTTGGAATGAGGAGGCTATGAGTGAAGTTGCATCTATGGTAGGTGTCCCGCTTTCTACGGACAAAATCACTCAAAATAGGAGCAATCACCACTTTGCTAGAGTTCTAATTGAAGTTGATGTTTCTAAACCACCTCCGTTATCATTTCCTATACGATTACCTTCCTGTAAAGTAGTCAAACAAATGGTGGTTTATGAAACTTTCCCCAACTTTTGTTTCCATTGTAAAATATATGGGCACCACCCATTTATTTGCAAGAAATTGGTAGCAAAAGAACAGGATGAGTCTATTGTTGAAAAGGAAAAGGAATCTGAGGAGATTGTTGTTGCTAAAACTGCCCAACACGTAGAGTTAAGAGCCGAGATGAATGGAGAAACCGGGGTTATGCCCATTGTACCAGCTGCCACTGTTGAGGATACCAAGGAGGCAACAACTCATGACCAGACTGTTGCCCAGGGGGCTGTTTTAGGTGTGCAACCTGCTGCCACCATTCTGCACTCTGCGCCAACTGCCCAGGGGGCTGGTTTAGGTGTGCAATCTGATGCTACCGTTTTGCATTCTGCGCCAACTGCCCAGGGGCATTCCAAACTTGCCAAGGGATGTTCCAAAGCTGATGAAAATGACTCCGAGGTCGTTTTGGAAGATATTGAAAGGATTGTGATGGATGAAAGAAATCTGAAGTTAAATGATGTTGTCATCAAATTTGCGGTCATCAACGGTAAGACACTCAAGTTGGCTGTCAAACCTTTTAAGTTCGTGTGCGCGAGTGTGATTAGAGTGGATACTTCGCTTCGACTTACAGATGATTTGGATAGGAAAGGCATTACTTTCACGGCCAAATGTCTCGAGGCGATGCCGGGAGTTACTAAGAAAAATGGGGAGATTTGTTTTGACTCAAAGTTCACCACTCCTTTCCGAGCTTTCTTTGGAGTTTAAATTAGGGATACCTATTTTTGTTTTTGCGGTCAAATTGTTGACTTGGGAGGATGGAAAGCTTGATGTTGTGGTATCCATTGTTCTGGGATATGCACTTTTTCTTTATTTTGAAATAGTTTGACAGGGGAATGTCCCATTGTTCTTGTGATGCAATTATTTAAGTTAGAAATTCTAGCTTAGGTAGCATTTTGATCTAGAATTGATACATTGTAAAATGTTATCTTTTGACGGTTTCTAATATACTTACATATTATCGTCGAGTTGCAATGGGTTCCCTATGCAAAAATACACAATTCTCGTTCACGACTCAAGTCCAAATTATGAATAGAAAAAAACATACAACTCTTCAGTGTTTTCAGGCTTACTAAATCAACCGAGTCACGAAGATTGGCTTAAATTTTGAATATGACATCGTATGAACTCATTTCGAGTTGCAATGGGTTCCCTATGAAAAAATACACAATTCTCGTTCACGACTCAAGTCCAAATTATGAATAGAAAAAAGCATACAACTCTTCAGTGTTTTTAGTCTTACTAAATCAACCGAGTCACGAAGATTGGCTTAAATTTTGAATAAGACATCGTATGAACTCATTTCGAGTTGCAATGGGTTCCCTATGAAAAAATACACAATTCTCGTTCACGACTCAAGTCCAAATTATGAATAGAAAAAAACATACAACTCTTCAGTGTTTTTAGTCTTACTAAATCAACCGAGTCACGAAGATTGGCTTAAATTTTGAATACGACATCGTATGATCTCATTTCGAGTTGAAATGGGTTCCCTATGCAAAAACACACAATTCTCGTTCAGGACTCAAGTCCAAATTATGAATAGAAAAAAACATACAACTCTTCAGTGTTTTTAGTCTTACTAAATCAACCGAGTCACGAAGATTGGCTTAAATTTTGAATACGACATCGTATGATCTCATTTCGAGTTGAAATAGGTTGGGTCGGGGTGAAGTTGAGAGCTGCTCTCTCCCTCCTGTAAGAGGTTCTTCACGCCAAAACTCGATTGTCCCCTTTTTCTTCCATTAATCTTCTTCTTTGAGCTTGGATTTTGGCTGGTTTACTTCCTAATCGTTTTTGGGGTGCTAAATCTCCAAATTTTAAGCTCTTTTTTGGGATTTTTGGACTGGTTTAAGCGAAGAACACAGTCGGCGTTACTGTTCACGCCGCAAGGTCAGTGCCCTAGCTCGGTTTCCTCCTGGCTAATTTTCTCCGGATAGGTGTCTTCGCGATTGTTCATGACTGCGTGAAGCTCTCTGCGGAATTGATGGTGTCTATCTGACTGGGGGTCCTTATCCCTATGCGCAGCTTCCTAACCTTGGCCGGGGAGGAGGTAGCTCGACATTGATTTCTGCTTTACGAGGTCGTGTTCATTGTCATTTTTTTCTACATGGCGAGAAAGAAACAGGGGGGAGGTGTGGAATTTTCCTCCAGAATTACCAGGTCTGCAGCTAGTTTCAACGTTTTAGAAGATTTAGAAGATGATTTGGATGATCTCCCTATCCTGAATTCTGGGATTTTAGGAAATAAACAGGCAGTAGCTGCGCAACAGGGAATTGGGTCAACTGGACCTGGGACTGTTGTGAAGGATATGCCGGTTGACCCTCCTGGGAATAAAAAACACAGTGGAGGGAAGACTGTGGTTGTCCCAGGGATTTCTGTGAAGGATGCTCTGTCGAAGGTCCTTACTGGAAACAAGAAGATTGTGGTTCCAGTAGCTGGTGAGGATGCTACAGCAGTAAGTAAGCTTCAAACCCCTCAACTGCCTGGAATTGATGCGGATAAGCAGCTTGAAGTAAATGAAAAATCAGCAACTCCCACACCTTGGAGTGCTTTGTTTAAGGACAATCGTGACCCTAGGCATGGAATCAAATTGAGATATGTCCCCCCCAAAGGAGATACCTTAGACTTTGGGGATCGTATATTGCCTTCCATGGTTGATATGTGGGGCTATTGCCTAGTGGGACATTTCACCGGAAAATTCCCCGGACTCAAAGCGGTTCATGATCTTAAAGCTAAATGGGGTGTTAAATGCCTTGTGAGGTCCCACAAAAAGGGTTGGTTGATTTTTAAATTTCAAAACGACGAAGATAGATCAAGGGTACTACAAGAAGGACCGTACATTGTGTTTGGGAAACTCCTAATGCTCAAGGAACTTTCGGAAAATTTTTCATTTGAAGATGAGGAATTTCTTAAAGTTCCAATTTGGGTCAAGTTCCATGATCTACCATTGCAATTATGGAATGATGAGGCCATGAGTGAGGTATCATCCATGGTGGGGGTTCCAATAACTACCGATAAAATCACCCAAGAGAGGATTAACAACGACTATGCTAGAGTGTTGATAGAGGTTGATGTCTCAAAGCCACCGCCACTATCGTTTCCTATACGACTACCTTCCCAAAAGGTATTCAAACAAAGTGTGGTTTATGAAACTTTTCCTAGTTATTGTTTTCATTGCAAAGAATTTGGGCACCACCCATTTATTTGTAAGAAGTTATCAAAATGTGGAGTTGGGGTAGATAAGGAAAAGGAAAAACATGATGTTGTAGTTGATGTAATTGAAGAAGTTGGAGTTGTTTCAGCTCGGACAGAACTGACCGAACCAAAAGAGAAAGAAAAAGGAGGTGCTGAAAAAGAAAAGAGTGTGGTTGCTGCTATTCAGAAGCCAAATTCTGTTATTCACCCGACCGGGCTTCCTTCTGGCCCGACCGGGTCCAATGACCAGACTGCTTCCCAGGACATTACTCCTCACCCGACCGGGCTTCCCCCTGACCCGACCGGGTCCACTGGGCAGATTGCTACTCAGGGGCAAAGAGATGGCAAGAAATTGGGAGAGGAGACCGAAGACCCGGATACGGAAGCCAAATCGGATACTACTGATTCTGAAAACCAATATGAGACTGAAGAGGAACCGGATCAGGAACATCATGTAAAGAAAACCATAAAAAAAAGTAGGCGGAGAAAGGGTGAGACAAATGAGAAGTATAAAAGACGGCTTGGAAGAATGATGGGAAGAAAGATAAAATAGTTCTTCGATGGGGAAACTACGGCTTCCTTAGATGGACTGGACTTTTATCTAAATAGTGATTTGTGAAGTGGGGACTGTCCCATTATTTTGATGTATTATATCTAGGTTAGGTTATTCTAGCTTAGATAGTTATTTTTGATTTGGATTGATGCATTGTAAAAAATGCTATTTTTTTCGGTTTCTAATATACTTACATATTATCGAGTTGAAATAGGTTCCCTATGCAAAAACACACAATTCTCGTTCACGACTCAAGTCCAAATTATGAATAGAAAAAAACATACAACTCTTCAGTGATTTCAGGCTTACTAAATCAACCGAGTCACGAAGATTGGCTTAAATTTTGAATACAACATCGTATGATCTCATTTTGAGTTGAAATAGGTTCCCTATGCAAAAATACACAATTCTCGTTCACGACTCAAGTCCAAATTATGAATAGAAAAAAACTTACAACTCTTCAGTGTTTTCAGGCTTACTAAATCAACCGAGTCACGAAGATTGGCTTAAATTTTGAATACGACATCGTATGATCTCATTTCGAGTTGAAATAGGTTCCCTATGCAAAAACACACAATTCTCGTTCACGACTCAAGTCCAAATTATGAATAGAAAAAAACATACAACTCTTCAGTGATTTCAGGCTTACTAAATCAACCGAGTCACGAAGATTGGCTTAAATTTTGAATACGACATCGTATGATCTCATTTTGAGTTGAAATCGGTTCCCTATGCAAAAATACACAATTCTCGTTCACGACTCAAGTCCAAATTATGAATAGAAAAAAACTTACAACTCTTCAGTGTTTTCAGGCTTACTAAATCAACCGAGTCACGAAGACTGGCTTAAATTTTGAATACGACATCGTATGATCTCATTTCGAGTTGCAATGGGTTCCCTATGCAAAAATACACAATTCTCGTTCACGACTCAAGTCCAAATTATGAATAGAAAAAAACATACAACTCTTCAGTGTTTTCAGGCTTACTAAATCAACCGAGTCACGAAGATTGGCTTAAATTTTGAATACGACATCGTATGATCTCATTTCGAGTTGCAATGGGTTCCCTATGCAAAAATACACAATTCTCGTTCAGGACTAAAGTCCAAATTATGAATAGAAAAAAACATACAACTCTTCATTGTTTTCATGCTTACTAAATCAAGCGAGTCACGAAGATTGGCTTAAATTTTGAATACGACGTCGTATGATCTCATTTTGAGTTGAAATAGGTTCCCTATGCAAAAATACACAATTCTCGTTCACGACTCAAGTCCAAATTAAGAATAGAAAAAAACATACAACTCTTCAGTGTTTTCAGGCTTACTAAATCAACCGAGTCACGAAGATTGGCTTAAATTTTGAATACGACATCGTATGATCTCATTTTGAGTTGCAATGGGTTCCCTATGCAAAAATACACAATTCTCGTTCACGACTCAAGTCCAAATTATGAATAGAAAAAAACATACAACTCTTCAGTGTTTTCAGGCTTACTAAATCAACCGAGTCACGAAGATTGGCTTAAATTTTGAATACGACATCGTATGATCTCATTTCGAGTTGCAATGGGTTCCCTATGCAAAAATACACAATTCTCGTTCACGACTCAAGTCCAAATTATGAATAGAAAAAAACATACAACTCTTCAGTGTTTTCAGGCTTACTAAATCAACCGAGTCACGAAGATTGGCTTAAATTTTGAATATGACATCGTATGAACTCATTTCGAGTTGCAATGGGTTCCCTATGAAAAAATACACAATTCTCGTTCACGACTCAAGTCCAAATTATGAATAGAAAAAAGCATACAACTCTTCAGTGTTTTTAGTCTTACTAAATCAACCGAGTCACGAAGATTGGCTTAAATTTTGAATATGACATCGTATGAACTCATTTCGAGTTGCAATGGGTTCCCTATGAAAAAATACACAATTCTCGTTCACGACTCAAGTCCAAATTATGAATAGAAAAAAACATACAACTCTTCAATGTTTTTAGTCTTACTAAATCAACCGAGTCACGAAGATTGGCTTAAATTTTGAATACGACATCGTATGATCTCATTTCGAGTTGAAATGGGTTCCCTATGCAAAAACACACAATTCTCGTTCAGGACTCAAGTCCAAATTATGAATAGAAAAAAACATACAACTCTTCAGTGTTTTTAGTCTTACTAAATCAACCGAGTCACGAAGATTGGCTTAAATTTTGAATACGACATCGTATGATCTCATTTCGAGTTGAAATAGGTTCCCTATGCAAAAACACACAATTCTCGTTCACGACTCAAGTCCAAATTATGAATAGAAAAAAACATACAACTCTTCAGTGATTTCAGGCTTACTAAATCAACCGAGTCACGAAGATTGGCTTAAATTTTGAATACGACATCGTATGATCTCATTTGGAGTTGAAATAGGTTCCCTATGCAAAAATACACAATTCTCGTTCACGACTCAAGTCCAAATTATGAATAGAAAAAAACATACAACTCTTCAATGTTTTCAGGCTTACTAAATCAACCGAGTCACGAAGATTGGCTTAAATTTTGAATACGACATCGTATGATCTCATTTCGAGTTGCAATGGGTTCCCTATGCAAAAATACACAATTCTCGTTCAGGACTAAAGTCCAAATTATGAATAGAAAAAAACATACAACTCTTCATTGTTTTCAGGCTTACTAAATCAACCGAGTCACGAAGATTGGCTTAAATTTTGAATATGACATCGTATGATCTCATTTGGAGTTGAAATAGGTTCCCTATGCAAAAATACACAATTCTCGTTCACGACTCAAGTCCAAATTAAGAATAGAAAAAAACATACAACTCTTCAGTGTTTTCAGGCTTACTAAATCAACCGAGTCACGAAGATTGGCTTAAATTTTGAATACGACATCGTATGATCTCATTTTGAGTTGCAATGGGTTCCCTATGCAAAAATACACAATTCTCGTTCACGACTCAAGTCCAAATTATGAATAGAAAAAAACATACAACTCTTCAGTGTTTTCAGGCTTACTAAATCAACCGAGTCACGAAGATTGGCTTAAATTTTGAATACGACATCGAATGATCTCATTTCAAGTTGCAATGGGTTTCCTATGCAAAAATACACAATTCTCGTTCACGACTCAAGTCCAAATTATGAATAGAAAAAAACATACAACTCTTCAGTGTTTTCAGGCTTACTAAATCAACCGAGTCACGAAGATTGGCTTAAATTTTGAATATGACATCGTATGAACTCATTTCGAGTTGCAATGGGTTCCCTATGAAAAAATACACAATTCTCGTTCACGACTCAAGTCCAAATTATGAATAGAAAAAAACATACAACTTTTCAGTGTTTTTAGTCTTACTAAATCAACCGAGTCACGAAGATTGGCTTAAATTTTGAATACGACATCGTATGATCTCATTTCGAGTTGAAATAGGTTCCCTATGCAAAAACACACAATTCTCGTTCACGACTCAAGTCCAAATTATGAATAGAAAAAAACATACAACTCTTCAGTGATTTCAGGCTTACTAAATCAACCGAGTCTCGAAGATTGGCTTAAATTTTGAATACGACATCGTATGATCTCATTTTGAGTTGAAATAGGTTCCCTATGCAAAAATACACAATTCTCGTTCACGACTCAAGTCCAAATTATGAATAGAAAAAAACATACAACTCTTCAGTGTTTTCAGGCTTACTAAATCAACCGAGTCACGAAGATTGGCTTAAATTTTGAATACGACATCGTATGATCTCATTTCGAGTTGCAATGGGTTCCCTATGCAAAAATACACAATTCTCGTTCACGACTCAAGTCCAAATTATGAATAGAAAAAAACATACAACTCTTCAGTGTTTTCAGGCTTACTAAATCAACCGAGTCACAAAGATTGGCTTAAATTTTGAATACGACATCATATGATCTCATTTCGAGTTGCAATGGGTTCCCTATGCAAAAATACACAATTCTCGTTCAGGACTAAAGTCCAAATTATGAATAGAAAAAAACATACAACTCTTCATTGTTTTCAGGCTTACTAAATCAACCGAGTCACGAAGATTGGCTTAAATTTTGAATACGACATCGTATGATCTCATTTTGAGTTGAAATAGGTTCCCTATGCAAAAATACACAATTCTCGTTCACGACTCAAGTCCAAATTAAGAATAGAAAAAAACATACAACTCTTCAGTGTTTTCAGGCTTACTAAATCAACCGAGTCACGAAGATTGGCTTAAATTTTGAATAGGACATCGTATGATCTCATTTTGAGTTGCAATGGGTTCCCTATGCAAAAATACACAATTCTCGTTCACGACTCAAGTCCAAATTATGAATAGAAAAAAACATACAACTCTTCAGTGTTTTCAGGCTTACTAAATCAACCGAGTCACGAAGATTGGCTTAAATTTTGAATACGACATCGTATGATCTCATTTCGAGTTGCAATGGGTTCCCTATGCAAAAATACACAATTCTCGTTCACGACTCAAGTCCAAATTATGAATAGAAAAAAACATACAACTCTTCAGTGTTTTCAGGCTTACTAAATCAACCGAGTCACGAAGATTGGCTTAAATTTTGAATATGACATCGTATGAACTCATTTCGAGTTGCAATGGGTTCCCTATGAAAAAATACACAATTCTCGTTCACGACTCAAGTCCAAATTATGAATAGAAAAAAACATACAACTCTTCAGTGTTTTTAGTCTTACTAAATCAACCGAGTCACGAAGATTGGCTTAAATTTTGAATACGACATCGTATGATCTCATTTCGAGTTGAAATGGGTTCCCTATGCAAAAACACACAATTCTCGTTCAGGACTCAAGTCCAAATTATGAATAGAAAAAAACATACAACTCTTCAGTGTTTTTAGTCTTACTAAATCAACCGAGTCACGAAGATTGGCTTAAATTTTGAATACGACATCGTATGATCTCATTTCGAGTTGAAATAGGTTCCCTATGCAAAAACACACAATTCTCGTTCACGACTCAAGTCCAAATTATGAATAGAAAAAAACATACAACTCTTCAGTGATTTCAGGCTTACTAAATCAACCGAGTCACGAAGATTGGCTTAAATTTTGAATACAACATCGTATGATCTCATTTTGAGTTGAAATAGGTTCCCTATGCAAAAATACACAATTCTCGTTCACGACTCAAGTCCAAATTATGAATAGAAAAAAACTTACAACTCTTCAGTGTTTTCAGGCTTA